GGGGGGCAGGGGGATGGAGGCAGCGCCCTCCAGAGGTTGCCACTGGGCTAGGAAGGGTTCAGGGGAAAGGGGCACAGCATGGAGCGCACAGCGACAGAAAGTGCCCTCAAGTCCCATGTTCCTCCCGAGCTCAGCCGAGGGCCAGCGCCACCATCCCCTTCTAACCTCTCTCCTTGGGCATGCCTGACACACTGTGGCTGCCTCTGTCCTGGACACATGCTCCCCGAGTGCACACACAGACATGCAGACCAGCTCTGTCCCCTCCAAACATTCCAAGAAAATCCTGCGGGGCCACAGACAGTGTGTGTGTGTGTGTGTGTGCGCGCGTGTGTGTGTGTGTGTGTACAGACAGAGCGAGCAGGGTCCACGCGTGCACACAGCCCTGTGTGCACACACAGGGCACACACATCCTTCCCCACGTGCACACACCGCCCCCCCAGGCAACACGCCCACCCCCCTGCCCCCATCTTCTGCCAGTTGCCGGAGTCCACACATGCAAACACACACGCAGCCCGGCAGTGGCCCTCCCTGCCAGAGCTGCAGTCTATGCCGATTTCTGCTGCTTCCCCGGGCTGCCTCCCTGCTTGCCCCACACCAGCACCACGGAGAAGGGGGCAAAGCCTTTGCAAGGGTCCCCACCCACCTAGGGGACCCCATTCCCCGCATCTGGTCCTCTTAGCAAATCCATCGCCCTCCTGCGGGTAAAGGGGGTAAAGCCCCACCCTGCCCCCCTCCCCCTGGAGCAGCACCAATCAAACCCCCCTTACCAGCTACGAAGATGAATTCCTCGACCCCGGCAGCACTCGGTAAGAGAGGGGGCTAGGGTCCCTGATTTGCCAGGATGGGGGCAATAAGGTGCGGTGTGGCACTGACTGGAACAGCCGTCCACCATCGAGCCTCCGCACCACCCCCCAAAAATGCTCACCTCACCGACCGTCCTCCGCGTCCTCACACCCCGCCTCCGCCCACCACCACCAGCACCCCCCGCACTGGGTGGTCCCCCGGGGGTCTCACAGCGATCCCCAGACCCCGGAGCCCCTAGGGGTGGCTTTCCCGGTCTCATCCTACCCCCCCACAAGGCTGTGTCCCCCGGCAAGCCCCACCCCCACCGGCGGAGGGGGGTGCCCTCCGGGTTCCAGCCCTCACTCCCACCGCCTCCGCCGGCCGCGGGCGCTCGGATCCGGAGGGATTCACTTACCTCCAGCCCAGCCGGGATCCGGGCCGAGCGCCGCTTCCGGCGGCGGCGGCGGCTGCGGGGCCTGCGCGCGAGTGTGAGTGTGAGTGTGAGCGCGGGTGCGAGTGTGCGCGGCGCCCGGCCGGGGCTCGGTGCGTGCCGTGTGTCTGTGGCGTGGCCCGCGTGTGCGTGTGTGTGTGTGTGTGT